ATAGATAATGAATTCAGAAATTTAATAAGTAGTGTAGTGTATAAGAAAAATAAATAAAAGTGTACCCGGTACTAAAAAAAAAATGACTCTCAAGGCCAGGTTTTCCACAACCAAAACATCAGCTGCACATTTCTCCAGTGGGGAAACTGGGAAATTTTGAGGAAGACTTGGGGAGGGGGGAGCTCACATGAAAGGCTGCCTCTTTTTGAGTGATCAGAACCTGGTCTGACAGAGCCTTTCTCTCATTCTGATCATAGGCGTTATCTTGGGGGGGGGGGCTGGGTCCCCCGCTGAAATTTTCCAGCCTCCCCCGCGGCAACCAGTGCATGTAGACTTTAAAGCGCCTCGGCCAGTTCCGGGCGCTCTTGTGCTCCCCCCCCCCAACCACCTAAGAATGGGAGGGAGATCCCGCGGGGGGTGGGTGGGGGAGTCCAGCTTTCCCTGTCGCTCCTTTGTCCTGCCTGCACCGCACACGCGCCCGGCCATGGCAGAGAGGCAAGCAGGGAAGCGGCTCCCACCAGGCATCTCCAGGGCAAGGAAGGCGCCTTCGCCCATGTCCGGGCAGGGGACGGGAGACAGCCGTGCAAATCAGAAAAGGAGCCGCTCCCGCTCCACACACCCCCAGCCTCGGGTGGAAGGAAGAAGAAGAAGGGCTGCCCGAGAGACCCGCGGGGCTTCCTGCCTGGCCTTCCTCCTCCTCCTCCTCCTCCTCCCGGCCCTTCTCTCTCCCCCCCCCCCCCCCGGGGGAGGAGGGGAGGGGCGCCCCCCGCCGCCGGTGCCCGGAGCCCCGCCCCTTCCCATTCGCCCCGCCCCGCTCACCTGTCCTGCCGATGGCGCGCCCCCGGACGAAGACCCCGTAGTTGAGGCGGCAGAGGGCGTCCACCTGGCCCCGCTCGTAGTCCATCCACCCCTTCTTGCTGTTGAAGTATCGGGCTGTGGGCTGGCCCAGCTCGGTGAGGGCCTCGTAGAGGCGGCAGAGGGCGTCCACCTGGCCCCGCTCGTAGTCCATCCACCCCTTCTTGCTGTTGAAGTATCGGGCTGTGGGCTGGCCCAGCTCGGTGAGGGCCTCGTAGTCTCCGCGGCGGCTGTCGAAGCGCAGGAACTCCTGCCGGTCGTAGATGTGCCTGTCCAGGAAGCGGACCTCCCCGCGAGTCCCGTCGGGGAGCCCCCCCCCCCCCCCATTTCACCCTCAGGTCCCCTCTCCAATCCGTGGTGGCCACTGGTGGCACCACCAACCCACGGGGCACCCTCCACAACAGCGCAGACGGCGGTCACCAGTCCCTGGCATCTCGCATCCGCGGCCACAGGTGGCGCCACCTGGAGGCCGCGGAACAGAGAGTCCCCTGTGTTTGGTGCGGCTGTCCCTGGCTACTGGAAGTGGTGGGGGTGGGATACACAACAGCGCAGACGGCGGTCACCAGTCCCTGGCATCTCGCATCCGCGGCCACAGGTGGCGCCACCTGGAGGCCGCGGAACAGAGAGTCCCCTGTGTTTGGTGCGGCTGTCCCTGGCTACTGGAAGTGGTGGTGGTGGGATTTACAGACAGTTTTTGCGGAGTCCCGGTCAGGATCC